TTAGAGACTCAATCTTTTTTTTTTTTAAAATCACTTTCTTTGGTGAGACAAACCGGTTAAAGTCAATTCCAATACGTGTATTGGATTCATTTCCATTTCTTCAATAAAATGGGATTAATAATGAAAAACAAAAATCTTGAACGGACCATTTTTTCAGGTCCCCACCCCCAGAAAAAGGAAAAAATGGTCCAAATTTATGTGGTTCATTGGTATGGTAATAGAACCAAACACATATATTCCCTTGATGCAAGTGGGATCTTTTCTGCGATACGCCACTAAGTGTAGTCCTTATCAGCCTCTTATGCAACACTCATGTTCTAAAGTAACGACAACAATAACAGCTGCTCTATTTCTATGATGTTTAAGGTATCATATCCATGGCTGTAGTTCTAACAGCTTTGTTACGAGCCTTCTGTGAACTCTATCCACAAACAAGTTTATATGTTTCAATGGTCTATAATTTATATGGTAGCTCTTAAGGTCTTAATCTCTCCACATATTTCATAAATTATGAACCCATGTGACTTATTTTACAAGCAAACTCCCTCCATTTTTTTATTATAAGAGAAACTACTATACACTTTATTGTATTTTTATAAGTAAAACTATAAATTTTGAAAAGCATTTATTTCATTTTCCCTAAATTGCCTCTCATAAATAGATAATATCTTTAAATTGGAGAAAAAAATAAACATTAATTACAAGGATATTTTAGTCCAAGTTTTTAAATTTCAGACATAATTATTATAATTAACTAATTTTTTAAACTGTGTGAGCTGGTTAAATTTTAATATATATATATATATATATATTTAAACGGAAGTATCTAATTGTTTCTAATAACAAACCGGTAGAGATTAAGACCCTTGTCCTTTCAAAACTAAGGTAAGGCAAGCATGCTGGTGGAAGTTTCAATCGCTGTTGGTGGTCTCAGTGAATTTTTCCATCTCTGATATATGTGATACGTCTCTTTCTATTTACCTATAAGGTTCTTGGAGTCTATGAGTGCACGCACAAACACACACAGACACAAATACAAAGGAGAATCACTTATTTTGGCTATTCATTTTTTAGATATCCAAACTGGGACCAAAGCATGTAATCCTGTTAGATGAAGACATTGTCCCCTGCTTGGGTTGAGACCTGAGGAATTACATGGGTCATATATATATTGAATTTTTTTATAATTAATAAATGAATGTGACAGATTATTGACTGGTGTACAATCAATACTAATAATAATCTCTGTTAAATCAGACACTTTCCATCTTTTTTTTTCTGTCCTCAAACGCAGTTTGCTCCATCAATGCAGAGCAGAAAGAAAATTATGATCGTTTCATTTCATCTATGAAACTTTCTAACATGCAACTTGAGTACTCCTTAGATCAAGCAAGCATTTTCTTTTTTTTTTTGGTGCTTTCGCCCTGGCATCCTAAGTTTTTACTCAGACTAATCTGACTAGCAGCTCACAGGCTCCTCTTTTGGGGGCATTCCTTCGACCAAGAATTTAAATGCTGCTTTATACTGAGGGCTTGAACTTGAGACCTCTGGTTAAGCTAGACCAACTCCCCAGTTAGTTGATTGAAGAATTAGGAGGTATCAAGCAAGCATTTCTAACAATGAGCTAGCCTAAATAATCATGATTAAGAATTAGTCCACGTAAATTTGGCCCAAAAAAAAAAAAGAATTAGTCCACAGAAATAGATAGGGAACACCGAAAAGCTCTTCTGACCTCAATAGTCAGAAACTAAAATCTTTACAGACCCAATGAAGGGGGAAAAATAAGCAGCAAAGTGCAAAATTATAAAAAACATAAGCCTAATTTTGATCTTCAAAAGATGATTTTATTAATCTCCTTCCAAAGATTAATCTCTCTGCTGGGTCTTCAACTGCTTATAGAAGTTCCTAATGAAGGCATCAGCTTTGCAAACAGCTCTTGGCCATTGATTCCTGCCCTCATCTTCTTCATCAATCTCCTCCTCCTCCACGGCTTCTGCTTCTCCAACAAATAAAAGGCTTGGCATTGAAGCACTCTTCACCTTGTCAAACTTTTCAAGAACAATCTTAGGCTTCTTTTTTTCACTAAGTTCTGAGAAAGAAAACATTTCCACTTCCACTGGCTGAGGTGGAAGCTTCCTTTTTGTCAGGAGTAGCAGAAGAAAATTTCTTGTCTTCTGAGGAAGAAGGCCTTGGAAAAGCTGAGAGAAAACCAGCTTCAGCTCCAAGTGTAATGATCAGGAGGTTGACAATGAAGTAGAGGAAGGTAGGCTTTAGGGAGGAAGGCAAAAAGGGTGTGATAATAAGAAGAAGAGCCAGCACAAGCAGCATTAGAACTTGAGACTTGTTAAACTTGGCCATGGCTCTTGGTGGATGACAAGTGAAGTGGCCTTGTATGACGAGAAATATCAGAAAGATCAAGAAGATCTAGTGCTGGCAGCAGGAAGTAATAGAAATAAAAGTGAGGTTCTGGGGACACACACTCACACATTTATATACAAAAGAGACCTAAAATTTTAACATAGAAATATTGACCAATCAATCATCATAAACAAGATGATGACTCTAAACATTAGGGAAAGCAAGGTAACGAGGAGGAGGTAAGAGGAAAAGTAAGACTGGGATCCCACTTCTGTACTGTCATTTTATTTTTGAATGTAATAGATTGAGTGAGATAATAATGTAGAAGAGCGATAATAATAGAGCATTGACACAGAAATATGAGATGGCACTCAAAGGCTTGGCAAGTTGAAAATTAAACTAACCATAAGAGAAGGAAAGGGAACAATAGAACATGGAAGCAAGAGCGGATGCAGCGGACTAGGATATAGCTTCTTGTGCTATCAATTTCTTTTACAAAAATATGATAGATTGAGAAAGATTTTTAGGAATATTGCTACAAAAGAGTGATTAAACACTGTACGTGTGTGTGAACTGTGAACATAATTTATTTAATCTCATTTTACTCTGCATTCTTCACCTCTATTCTGCATTCATTTATTCTCATTTTACTATCATTTATTTATTTTTTGTTTCGATCTAGATAGATATAATACATTTATTTGCTAAATATAGAAATTCAGGCGTTGAATTTATTAAAAAAACATGTTCTTATTTATAATTTTAAAAACAAAGATAAAAATAGACGTATCTTTTTTTTGTTCCCTGTCAATGAAGACGACGACAAATTTATCTGGATGTTATTGGACGCTGCTCGATAAGGTCGGTGAAAGCATACTCCCATTTTCCCATAAAGTTTATCCACCTTTTATTTTTATGGTTTTTTTTTTTTATATTTTCTTGGGCGCTTTAATTTAAGCTTTTGATTTCACAACCACTAAGAAAAGTCTTCATACAACCTGGCAGCTTGGGATGGTTGGTAGTAAACGAACTGTTAATGTTAGGCAAGGTTATGAGCTTAATTCTCTCACTTAAAGCTCCGCAAAACTGTTTGGCTAGCAGAAAGGACGAGAACAAAATGAATTAAATAAAAATAAAAATGAATTAAATTATACCCATCTCATTATAATCATGATAAAATCCAATCACATAATATAAATATGAAAATCAACCCACTTTCTATAAATTTAATAAATTATGACTCGATCTCATAACTCATGAATTGAATTACTTTTTTTTTTTCATGAATATGATCTACCTCTCTCTCCTTCACTTTTTAATCATTTTATTTTTGTTGTTTTTTCCTTTAATATATTATAGTCTCATCTTTTGCAGGAACCAAAACAAGTCTTGAGAAATTTTATCCCAATGGAGAGTCAAACTATGAGAGCACTCCACAAAGCAAACCTGAATTAGTTGGAGTCTAACGTGACTATCAAATGCCGGGTGCTTCAAGCAAGGAATAAGTCTTGATACGCTTACCATGTTGATCAAATCTACACGTACCAACTTTGATTTCATCCTAACAAAACGAAGGTATAACCTCTTGTGCTGTTCGGCCTCTGCTTATAAATAGATTTTGATATGAGATATCATATTTATACATACAATGAACATGATTTGACATTAATCATTATATGTACATTATCATATTGCATTCTAGAGGTATTAAAAGATTATCTAATTGTCTAACTGACATATTCTTGAAAAAAGAAAAAAAAAAAAAACAAGGGTGTTTTTGGAAGGCTCTCTTTTCCTATCATCACATCCGATTGCGTACCTATGGCTTCTTTCCTTATTTCCCCATCCTTGTTTTCATAATTATGTTATGTTTATCTATTGCGTCATCTAAAAAGATTTAAAAACAAAATCATAGGCTCATAGCTCCACATCAGACGGTTCATGTAATAGAGACCAAGATGAACCAAAATGGTTAAATCCTAAGGCCAATAAACACCTATTCCCCTTATAATCTACTGTATTTCTTCTTCTTTTTTATCTTATCCTTTGGTGCAATAGCACAATACAGAATCATTATCCTTCTTGAGAATGAGGTGGAACAAATATTCTCTACCGTTTTTCTTTACTGGGCTAAAAAAACAAAAGAACATTCTCCTCTTGGCTTGTGAGGTGGATTTGACAGAGACTTGATATAAGATATTGACCTATATTATGGCATCTAGCCGCAACCCCAGCATATCCTTCATCCGAAGAGTTCAGGGTCGATAGAATTTTCCTGTTCTAATCCTAGGGCTTTTATGCTTTATGCTTTACAAGTTAACCAAACTTACCTCCAAATCATAGAATTATTCGTATCTACCAAATAAATTATGAATTGTCCAATCCGAATCACAACGTGCTTCAGTAAATCAATCTTTATCTGTTTTGTGTCCAGAGTGATAAAGGATAGGGAAAGGAATGGCTGCCTATTCTAGAGAGGCTATAAAATTACTTGTATTCTCCACCTTCAATTATTTTGTACCTATCAATAGTTAGCATCCCAGTGACAACACCACCTCCCTCATTTGAAAGAGATCCCGGGTTTAAATCCGGAGTTGACATATTTGTGCGCATACATAGGTATATGTATCTCTCTTTCCTTTGAAGAAGGACAAGGTTAGGGACAAAATTAAAAAAAAAAAAAAAGTATATTCTGTACCCTACAGAAAATTAAGCATACGGCACTTCCATCCTGATAGATATAAATGAAATGAAGAGTATGCTTAAAGGATACTTACATGGCAAAAGTGGCATATTTATCAGACATAAATACGTAACAAAGTCAAAATTTACTGCAACATGCAATAATCCACATTATATAAACAACATACAATCCAGTAGAATATATTCAACCCATATAACTGGCCTCAGACCAGAACTTTCGGTACAAAAAATCTTAACTATATGCATCCAACTCATTTACATCTACCTAAAAAGCTTAAACTGAAAGCCAAGTACCTGCAGGTATGTAACGGCACACTTTTCAAAACGGCGCTAAGATAAAGAACTATGGTATGTATATTTAAGACAGAAAACCTATGATGAGATCATCCAGATCAGGGCAGTCATTGATGACTAAGCCATGTTCATTGGCCAAATGAAGAAGGCAGATGAAGCACATGTGAGGAGAGATATCCCCTGCTTCTACAGCAGCAGAACAATCGATTGGAACCGAGGCCAACAGACACTTGAAAGATACAGCACCATCGTGTACCTGTAAACAAGAAAAAATAACTTGGAATGAGAAATGAGCTTTCACGTCCATGGTGTTGGTAATGAAAAAGGGCAGAAAATGTTCAACACTTTTAAAAATATACAACGTCCTGTAGCAGTTAATGTCCATATATAAGATAACTCTTCATATCCATAAATTACAACGGTAATAACTTGAGAAAAATAATTTCCAACAAAATATTAGTGAACTGAAAACAAACTCATATCTTGGTTCTTTTTCTTTGATGTGTTCAATCAGCGTATCGGCTTTCAGGCACTCTGTTTCCTTTTCTTCTCATGCTACAGCTCCCAACTTACAAACATTCCCTTACTTTTGATGTTCAGCACAGAAGAAGATTTCTTTAAAACACCATTAATATTACTTTACCAACGTAATGCCCTCTCACAAAGTCAAGTTATTTCAGTTTTCATAGCCAACATATATAATAATATAAAGGTACCAATATAGGCCATTGCTGCAACACTTCATGGAATAGCACTATGTTGATGCCACAATTTAATCATTCTTAAACACTTCTAAAGATAATATAAATGCTATCACAACACACATCAACTGTATGTATGTAACTAGACAACATAAAATTTTTTCTTAAAAAAATAAATATATTCATCTGTATTTACAAATGAATGTTAAAATTGAATTTATAACAATTAAACATATCCTAAGAAGCTGTTTAGGTCATGTTTGCTTAATAAAATATAATGGATTGTAAAAATATAGATAAAAATAAGATGATCAAGGGGGATAGGTGAGCACATTCATAAGGAAGAGTAGTAATTTAATTCATGAAGTTGGAAATCATAATTCATGAAATTTTTTAAGGGTATGAGGATTCTCATATTTATAGTATATATTAATAAGTTTTATCATACTTATTATGGGTAGAAGTGTGATTTAGTTCATTTTTGTCTTTATTTTTTCAACCCATTCCATGTCATTTTATTCCAGTAAGCAAACATGACCTTAGTCTTTGTCTTTGATGTTAGAATATGGGTTCCTACCCCAATATAAAAATAAATACACACACCACAAGAAACATATTTTAAATCCTGAGCATATCCCACCAAAGGCGTAGTTTTGAGGGCCGGGCATTACAAAATTTAGGAAGAACATAACTAAGTCTCAATGAAAACGTGGCAGATACAAGACCAACAGAACTAGATAAGAGGAAACAGAAAGTAGATTGCTGAAGGATATTACCGACTCAGTGCTTTCTCTGGAATCTTGCATGTGATGCCAAAGAGATTCCTTCAAAGCATGTACGTCAACTTGTTTAGTAGTTTTCTCATATTGAATCTCAGTTTCTTTTACCTGAAGAATGCAATCCATGGATGTGAGCAACAAAATGAGATGGAAATTAAGAAAGCAAAACAAATGGTGAAAAGATAGTAAGTGAAAAGGTTAGCATAAATTATATGTTGCCCAAGTTTCTCAACTAGAAGACAAGTGGATAATATCCAAAGCCGCCATTTGTATGAAATCAAAACCTTCCTTGAAGAGAAAAAAATCAATATGTCATTTCACAACCAGTCAAAATTTCAAACTCCAAAGACGTTCCTCCAGTGACCAATGAATGATTTTTGTTTTTTAAAACATAATATGGGAAAAAAATCAGTTTCATAACCATTCACACTGGCGGACTGACTCACATGCGGCTAAGCATAAAAACTCGAGAAAATAAATGGGATTAATAAAAAAGAAGAAGAAAAACCTGGCATGGCTGGGAGATGAATCTGTCATTGACTTCACCATCACTATAAACATGTATGTCATCATAATGATCAGCAGAGACACTTTGATGTTCCCAAGGCGGCCCTAGACTACTGTTCTGTCGCCAAAAGTTTTCAACTGAAACAAATAATAATGGCCATACCATAAGTATGTTATATTCTATCTGCAGCCAATCGGATGGGAAAAAGTATGTTCTAACTTGCATTGCAAAGACAACGAATCGTATAAAACCATAGGAACGTGAAGAACCACTACCCCTGTCATTATGCCTTACTATATGAGAAACAGGAAAGTTGGATCACAATGTTGAAATTGGAAATTAGCAAGCCAACATTTGAGCCTTTTTTTGTTATCTGGACTTCCTAAAAGAACGGATCGGAGGTCAGGTCCCTGATCAATTGTCAATGCAAAATACAGAATCTGGAAGAAGGAAATGTATGCATAACATATGATCTTGGCATATCATGGAATCAAAGATACCACCAAGGCGCGGGAGAATGAAAATGAATCCCAATCCGATTCCCTTGAAGTAGGAAATACATGCATAACTGATATAGACATGGTAATGTGAAAGGAAATTTGGGGGGATCTGCCAAAGGATAGTGCCAGAATCTAAAAAACAATACTCTTTAGCAGTAAGGTGGAGAATCTTCGAAAGAAACAAGTATATTTATTTATTCATAGTTCTCCTTACAGCCAGCATATCATACTTGTAGCAAGGACATCAGACAGAGACCAGAATAACTAACTAAAACACGACATACATGCACAGAGTGCTATAATAAAGCAAACATGTAACGAAGTGGACTACAGGCAAAGACATAACTAAGACATAATTGTAAGATGTTAAGACGTGTAATATACAAAGCAAAAATCAGTTAATAACTTCCTGAGACATTTCATGAATCCTAACACGTTTTTGTCATCTAGAATAAGTCTCTTTAGAGGCTGCTGAGGTGACAGTCTCTTATCAATAACCTATGATATAGACATATCATGGAAACAAACATATTACTACAAAGGTGTCCCATTATTGTTAGTTGCGAGATGGAAAATTATACCTGATGGTTTTTTTCTTCTCTTCCCAGAAAACTAGAAAAGACAAACAAGAATTTGTCATTAACTGCATAGACAACAGCCCAACTTAATATAACTTTCATATGAACGAAGTGCACGCGATAAAGCATCATGAATCCCGTAACTACAGACTAAAATAACTTTTTCCCTTCTGGACAGAAACTTTTATTCAGCCAAAACAATAAATATAAAAAGTAGAGAGAAAGATTCCTCCTACAAGTACAAAACAGAAACATTTTACAATCATATAATTCTTGTCATCTAGAAAGCTACTCACCACGACAATTGGATGAAGAAACTGCCTGACAATATCCTGAGGTTGATAATGGCAATCTTCTTGAAGTTTGTTATCAGGTGGTTTTCGGTTTGCAGCCAGCAATGTAGACTTGGGATTTTGTGGTGGAGAAAAAATATCAGGCATCTCTTTGTCCAAAAATTCCATAAATTCAATATCAATATCTACAGTACTTTTGTTCCTTGATTTCTTAGTGGTAAGGTTTGGTTCACATTCTGAACCAGGATCATCCTCTGGAGCTACAATATAGAGGTGTAAGACTGCAAAATCTATAATAACCAATTACCAGTAATGCAAACAAACTGTTATAGTCAATGCTGCACATTACATACACTTAAACCTCCAATACTTCCAATACTTCCAGTGATCAGGACCTGCCCAAGCGTTCTGTTTAGAAGTATTTCCCAATACCTGTAATAAAAACATAGGAACTGGCTCATGGCTACCATCCATATTTGCTCTGTAAAATGCACAGCTGTCATTATCCTATACAAACAAAAGACTTATTTAGAGACCTTATCAAATATTTAGCAAAACCTTGTGAGAGAAAAGAGAACAGTAAAGGATGAAAACATGTGACTCATAAGTAACGTATTAATGTGCTGATCAACTATCCAGTAAAATATATGGCCAAAAAAAAAAATCCAATAAAAGATGTCATCATGCAAAACATACCTCCAGAAATCCTTGAAAATTAGAATCCAAAGAACTAGACCTCTCATTTACAGCAGCTGTCTCATCTAAATCATCAAGGTTTGCATAATGGTTTCCAAGTATACCACTATCAAAATTAGGATCCTTGGCACTAAATGCATCAGCTCTTTGTTCTGGTGCTTGACTCAAATTATCTGTTGACAATGACCTATGATTGTACTCATCTAATTGCCTAAAAATATCCTCAAGAGTGGGAGATATATTGGTAGTTGTTGCCATCTTCATCACCATCTGCTCAATTGACTCTATCAGAGGACCATAATTGGAAGGGAGTTAGTGATTATGAAAGAAATTGGGAGAAAAACATAGGTTGTAAAATATATGAAGCAAGATTTTTCCTAGCATACACCTTCAGCAAAGGAAAGATCAATTTTTTCTGAAGTATCAATATGGTTTAAATATGATTTGTATTTCCCCGGTACATCGAATGAATCAAACAGTACACAGCATCCTCCATATATTCCAAGGTTGTTCAGTAAGAGGCCCTTGACTTCACCCTCATCAAATAATAAAGAGGTCTGATGATACAGAGGATCCACCATAAAGGCCACTGGGATGAAAGATATAAAGTACGAAATGTTACAATAAAATTGGAAAGTGTGAGAAATAATATATATAAAATTACCGTCAAACTTCTTAACATTAAGAGGTTCAAAAGAAGATTCCAGAGTGGCCAACGGTGATAGCTGCAACAACCACGTTTATAAGTTTTATATAGTAGTCTGAGTGTATGAACCATAAAAATTGAATGCACCTTCTTGTCCGAGTCTGACCCAGGCTGTGAGTGGCACTTGCCTTTACTGCCATTGATGTGATCCACCTCAGTAGTTATATCTGGTAGAAAAAAGAACATTGAAGTGATTCTAAAATCAAACTCAACAGCTTCAAATGTAAGTCATGAAGGAAAAGGTTAAAGTTCTGATAAGAAATTAGAAAACTATACACTAAGTTGTGACTACTTGTTACCCTCTTGAGATAGAAGGATTTGCATACAACAGAAATAATCAGGATAGTGCCAGAAAACCAACCAAAGGAACAACCGCCATGTTTAAAAGGAAAGCACGAAGTGAATTAATCCTCCCATCCATTTGTTCACAGCAAGGGAAACATTAATAATCCCCAGTTTATATCGACATAAAAGCACTTAATTATAGGATATGCTAATCAGCTAGGAGCATCTACAAGGACTAGAACAATGTTTTGGCTTATCAAGTTAACATAAAATTTTTATCGGATACAGACGTGAATTGAATGTCCAAAAAAAGAAAGTCCCTTTGTCCATAAAAAGCCTAAGATTATTTAGTTGGGGGGAAGGGAGGGGAGGTGCTCCTCTCCCCCTTGTTCGGTTTGAAAAAGTGGAGGGGAGGGGAGGGGGGAAGATTTTAAAATATTTAAGGTTTATATTAAGTATTAAGTATATTAATTTAAAATATATAAATTTTGTCCATTTATATTTTCTTAAAATTAATATATTAAGTTATTAACCATGTCATTCCCCTTCATTTTTGAAAAAAAAAATTCAATGTTGTGTGCTCATAAATAATTATTAACTTGTAATTTTTTTCAGATTGTAAAAGTAATTTAATAAAATTATTTATCTTGTGTAATACAAAAATTAAGAAATAATCTCCTATACATACATATATGTATGTATGTATGTATATAAATTTTATAATTTGGCCACTCATAGAGAGTCTGGCTCCGCCCCTGATCCGAACGCATTGTCGCCCGAAGCGTTGGAGAAGCATCGATGTTGGAATGGCTTTGAGAAGCAGGTCAGAAGCCAAAAACCTATCCGAGCCCCGAAACCTGACGGGATGAAGAGTACGTCGTCCACGGAAGAGAGAAAGAATTGACGAGTTCGAAAATTTCAATCTACTTTCCAGGCTGCACCTCGAAGAGCTTCCACCGGGAGGTAATTACCTTTTTCGTCATTCCTTGCGCAGTCGATGGAGAATTCTCTGCCAAATTAGTGCAAAGTGAAGGAAACGACAAGCCAGACAAGAGTGAAAGAGAAGCTGAAGCCTGTTTCCTTATCCTTGGCCGATTTTCGTCAAACCAAACCCTAAATCATTACCTCAATTGGAGAAGATGGTAATTTTTACTGCTACGACAACTTCTGAAATATGGAAAGAGATAGAACTTGCGGAGAGCTACCTTGTTTGCTCCATGTTCGAAGGAGCCGCGTCATTATCTTCATCTATCTTGAAGCGTTTGCGTGAAAATGGTAGAGGCGTGGCAACCGAAGAAGAAGCTGCTCAAATGTTTGATATGTTGGAATCAACTGGTATGGTGCTGGTTCAGTCATTAAAGGAACTTGGCAGGACATCAGAAATTCTGAATCAACTCAAGCTATGTTTTATGTCGGCAAAGTTCATTCCTGCTCAAGTTCTTCTTACTGGGGTTTGTCTCCAAATCGCGGACGGTTCTCCTTTGGCTGTTCGAGAACTCATTGAAGAGTTTCTTGATGGATGGATTCTTGAGGGTGAACAATACTGCACTGTCGTTGCAGAAGAAAATTTAGAGCGTGAAACCGGATGTAATGTACAAATTGTTCTAGGAATTGATAAGTATGTGGAAATTGTTGAGTTCTATGCTGTCACACTTCTTGCGACAGTTCTAAATGATGTAGATCTTGCTATTTCGTGGGTTGAGAAAGCTTCATTACCTGAAGGAAAACGACAGGGAATTTTGAGGAGGCTACACTCCATGCATTCCTCTAAATCTACCGACATGTCCCAGATTTCCCTTTCACAATCTCCAGCAAATAATAACGAAGCTTGTTCTCCGGCAGAACTACAGTCATCTGAAGGCTTGTCCAAAGCCTTGAAAGGCAAACATCCAGAAAATAAAAAGTTTAGATCAAAAGAAGTGATTCTAAAATTGTCTGAACGAATAGAACCATGTTTCTGGTGCTTCCGTTCTATCAATTTGAAGCTTGGCAATGCTCAGTTTGTCATATCTAAGGGGAAGATAATGCTCGGTTGTTTGATCTTGCTCATATGTTATGTTTTCAGGAAGAAGCAAGCTAGTGTAAAAGGGATTATTAAAAGACAATTGGTTGCCGTGAAGAGGGCATTGGTAGATATGTGGCAGCTTGCATTTTCGTATCAGCTAAACCCTCTAGCTGGTGTTCAACCTCTTCCTGCTGCTACACGCGGAGGTCAGTGATGGAACAATTGGTCATTCATTTGGAATTCCTGGATTGAGTTCTTGAATAGCCTTGTGGTTCTTGGAAAACTACATTTTTTTTTATTTTGGCTTCACTTTTACTACTCACCAGCGCCACAATGGAAGCAATTTAGCAAAATGTCTTCTGCTCTGCTTTTCTCAGAGTTGTCTAGAATAGTACTTAAAATAGTTGACTTGAAGGGTTATATGACTTACGACTATCACAGGTTCTAATTCCCAACATTTGGGGTTATGTACACAATAAAGTTTAGTCAACTCTACACCATATAAATAAATATTCTATAATTTAATATCTTGATTAGTACTCATGGAAATAATTTTCAAATCAGAATTTTAAGTAATCTACATTCACAATGAAGGGTAAGAAATGACTGTTAACCCACATTAATGATAGTCACAAAACCAAATAAGTAAGCAAGGGATGAACCTTGTTCATATTCTGCACCAGTTTGCTTCATTCTAGTGAGGACTTTATATGCCTCTGAATGCACAGCGTCCACCCTTGCCGAGTATATTTTCACCCCTGCCTCTAGTGTGCAGCTTGCCTGCCAATTCCGTATCAAAGGCAAATCATTACCCACAAAAACAAAATCAAATTTTCATTATTCTCCTTGAAAGATTGACCCCAGACCTTTTGGAAGTTAGTCTCAGCATCATTTTCTGCGTCGACTTTGACAACCTCGTTGAGATGATCTATGAGCTTCAGCTGCCAACTGTTCTTCTGAGTTATTTTCTATTAGGGGGCAAAAAGAACACAATGCTATTAGATGAAAATGTTTACAGTTTAAGCTGAAAATTTTCGGCTGGTAGTTGTATACGAAAGCAGAGTTTCAGATGCACGCTATTATCAAACTGGTAAAGAAAGGTGTGGTGTCAAAATTATTATAAACTTCAGGTTCGAGACAATTACTAACCGGTCGAATCATTATTTTCTAAATACTATACTTCATTTGTTAATTCCTTTTCGATCTCGATCTCTCTGAAACTGAGTTATTTCAAATCTCCATTATTAAACATATTTTGTCGTTTTTCCTTTCAAAAGAGGGGCGGGGGGATATTTTGACATTTTACTTTAGCTTTCAGTCAATTATTTCCATATCTTACCATCTAACATCAATCATCAATCAATGTTCGAAAATATAGATATGCATCCCACAGATCCAGACTTTGACCACGCCAACTCAATTTAGTGACTTATACATGCACGACAACACAATACATGGGAATCCTTAAACCAGCCCATAAGTGAAAATAGTTTCTGATATAGATGATTTGGTCCGAGGTGCATGATTCCTTATTTGATTCTCCATTGTGATAAACTTATGATTTATGCAGTAGCAAGAGAGCTTATGTTTGAGTTTGAACCCATTCATTAGCCTCTCAGCTTACAGTAGAACAAGTCCAAAACCGATGGCCAATCAACTCAACTAACAGCGTCCACCCTCGCCATTATAAATTGATAATTTATGCTTTTTTTATATTGGATTACAAAATCAATCATCTACATTCAATATTTTGGTTCGGAACTCATACATTAAGCATCCATTATACGTCATAAGAAATGGATGGCTAAGCTCATCGAATCAATACACAGTAATCAGTAGATTATCATAAATGAAGCTTCAGAGAGTTGCGCCAAATCATGCATGTAAGCGAAAATAATGAAAATTTGCAAGAGCTACGATTATAGAAAGCTGTCTACCAAAGAACCGAATGCTTAATAATGCTTGGTTGCTTGTAATATAACGAAAGCAGTAAAAAAAAAAAAACCGAAAAGCTTATGAATGTGTGCTTCCCTGAAACGCTGATACCTTGTTCGGAGGCCCAAAAAAGGCAGTGACATCGAAGGTGCATGTATTTCTACATTGTAATGCATAAGAAAAACATAAAGTACTGACTGCTGAGGCGTGCATTCCAGCGCGAATCCGCGCAGAAATAATAGAGGAAAAATCTGACGCACTTTTTCGTGATCGGCAAGAAAAAGAAATAGAAACCATTGCAAGCTAGAGAAGAGTGAACTGACATTTTCACAGGCAAGCTTTATGCAATTGCTGAACAACTCAACGATCTGGTCGTTGCTAAGACCGGGATCGGCTGGAGGCGGCGTAGCGGCGACTTTGCAACGGATGGAAGTGGCACGAGCAGCGCGGGATTGAGCGCGTTCGAATTGGTCGTCGTTGGAGCCCAAGAAGAAGGGAGTCGTCGGTGACTGAAACCTGTTGGCCATTAGAGCTCTTCGATGCCTCGGCGCCGTTGATGGTAAAGGAGCTGCCGCTCCGCCGGTCATGACAATCTCAAGAGACGAGGGAAATTTTGAATCAAGTGAGCGTTGTAGCGTGCCGAGTAAGTATGATCGTCATGACCAGTGGTTCTGCGTTTTTATTTTTAATTATCACAATTGTTAATGTTAATTAAGACATTAAAAGTCAATCGGAAATTGTTAATTTTTTTACAAGTCGGAAAAACAGAAAATAGTTAAATTTTAGTTTAGTGTCAAAAGATTCAAATATTACCTCTCGAGAAAAAAGATTCTAATATTAGCAGTAGTACTGGTTATGGGGAAAATATATCATAAATCATCAGTCGTCAAAATTTGTAATGAATTAATGGCTTTAAAATTTAAAACATTTGAAAGTTTCACGCGATCAGGCTCCCCTTTCGTTTGTAAAACATGCTGCCTACAAATATAACATGGGGTACATTTTCAGACATCTGCTCAGCTCAAAATATAAGATATCATATTACTTTTATAATTTTTTTAAATATCCCTATACTTTTTTTTTTTTGAAAAAATAATGCATTGAATTTTTAATTATCATTATTAAAATACTTATATAAAATATCTAATAAAAATATAATTGAAAAAATTTTTAAAAATTAAAATATTAATGTTTCATTTAACGTTTTTTTTTTAAATCATGAAATAGATATCGATATAAAATAATTGAGCCCTTTTATTTTTAGAACAATCTACCTTTTATGGTAATTAGCATCTGATGGTTACTTAGTTCTATAGTAACTATCAAACCTCTTGTTTTATTTTTTTTATAGTAATTTTTTAATTATCATATAATAAAAAAATAAAAGATTATAAAGATTTTATGATAGAAAAAGGTGGGTATGGTACTTACAAGAAAAATGAGCAGTAAATATAGAATCAATACTAAAAATACTCCATTCATACTACAATACAAGACATTTTATAAAAGTCTTACTTAATTTAAAATATAAAGCATTGATAATTTTTATAATTATTTTTTAACTATACCCCTACTTCATTTATTTTACTTTTTGAAGAAAAATTATGCATTAAAATTTTAAGTGTTATTATTAAGACATTTTATGTAGAACATTTAATAAGGGTATAATTGGAAAGATGTGAATTGTTATAAAAGATTAAAATTTCAACTAACTTTTTTTGAGAATCATAATATAATTACTAATGCCTTGTATTATGATTCAAAAAAATAATTTATAAAATATTTTTTTACAAAATTATGCATACTAATAAATTTCATTAAAAATACTTTACAATCTCATTGCTTTAAAAGCAAAAGTATAAATTTTTAAAAATATTATTAATTTAATATAACTTTATTTGTGAAACATAAATAGAGAATGAAATGTAATAAAGAAAGGAAGGTAATATTGAAAAAGTATTATCAATAAAAACTTAAAATATTTTATATTTTGAGACACTAAATTATCTTCAAATGTCTCATACAAATTAAGATGGAGAGAGTATAGTATATATCACAACTTACTTTTTATTTTTCATTTTTATACAGAAACGAAATACTTCATGAAAATTAATGAATCTCAATTTAGAAAATTATTTTATTTAAAAAAAAGTAAAGTTAAATATGAAACCTATAATAAAAAAATAAGTGTGAAACGTTCAACAAAATTCAAATGAAAATTACACAAATTGTAAAATGATAGGCATGCAATGCAATGGAAATTTTTTTATTTCTAAAATTTTAATTTGTACACAATAATAAATTCTACAAAAATAATTTAATGCTTATTTTCAACACATAAAAATTAATAAATTATATAATAAAATAAATTATTTATTTTTCACTATGTAAAAGAGAAATATATCATAAAAAATAATTTTTACTATACAGAATAAAAAACATGTGAGCTTGACTTTTATGAACTCATGTTTTTAAAACCTTTCACTTTAAAATTAGTTATTCCTTGAAATCAATATTTATTAAATGGCTTAGAGCTGAGCTAGAAATTTAATTTTTAAAAAAATTAAGTTTGACATCATAATGTTATATATTTATTATCTAAGATATAAATTATAATATTCTAAATGTAATATTATAAATCATCAATTTAAAGTACAAAATCTTTATTTAATATCACCTGAGGTTGAACCTGTTTTTACATTACAACTTTGAGAGTTAATATGCCATCCATCGGGCATAAAAATGGGAGAATGGTATTAAGGGCTCTAAAAGCATAGTTTTTTATATTTAGGGCTTAAATTAATCTGAAATTGATCTGCAAGCCTTGGGATCTTAATTGCAATATTTTTTCAAAGCAAAAATACCATTTTGCTGTTTGTTTAATTTGAACCCAAAATGATGCACAAACCCTCAAAGAAACAAAACAAACGTAGCACGATTCACTATTTTTCTTATCTTCTCTCTCATTTCACCAGTCATCATTCTGCCGTTGTTGATCGTTGTCAGTGTGAATAAGTGTAGAAGTCGTGGGTGTTGATAGACAAAACACAGTTCACAATTTTTTCTCTCTTTCATTGCACCTTGTTGGTCATTGCTGATCTTCTTTCCTTATTCGAGCAACATCATCTACTTCTTGAAGCTTCTATCACTATTGTTTAAAGGTGAGAATCTTCAATTTTGTTTCTCCCTTGTTGATTCAGTGCATATGTGTCTTTTAATTGTTGAAGTTGTAATAGGTCTCTTGTGTGAAGCATAGATGTTTAAGCCTGCAAGTTTATTTGTTTATTTGTAATTCTACTGCTAATCTGAGCTAAAAGTTGCTAAACCATTTTGGCCATGAAAGTTTTAGAGTGGATTAGTTGTTGTACAATAATGATGGTTGGCTTGTTCATATTAGACTTTTATATGTGAACTGAATAAAATATGATTCAATATAAAAAAATCTGCTATCAAAAATATTGGAGTATTTGTTGTGCAAAAATAAACTTTGAGTTGCTGTTGAACATTGAGTTGTGCATTGTATTAATCATAGCCTAATGATAAATTAAAAATACATGACTTTCAGGTGAGAATATATAAACATTGTGTTGTGCATAGTGAATATTATGTTGTGCACTATTTAGCTAACTTGAGCATCTTGTTAAGTCTAACCTACTGATAAAATAGAATCATATGGATTTTCAGTTGAAAATATATGAATCTTATGTTATGCAAAGCAGATATTGTTATACATTGTTTACCTACTTGTGTATTTTGTTAAGTCTAATCTACTGATATAAGCTAAAGGTTGTTAAACCATTAAGTTGGCTGTAAAAATTTTAAAGTGAATTAATTATTGTATAATAGTGATAGTTGACTTGTTCATATTAAACTTTGACATGTAAATTGAATAAAATATGACTCCCAATGTGAAAAAAATTTGCTGTGCAAAAATGAACTTTGAGTTGTGCAAAATAAAAGTTGAGCTTCTATATGTGGACATTTACCTAAATTAATTAGTTCATTGCAGATTAAAATAAAAGAAGATTTATTATTATTCAAGATATAGGGACACTATACACAATGGCAAGACATGCAATAATTCTAACTCTACATGGGAAGCAGTTACATTGTTCCTTTTTTATGTACATAGGCAACTATAATTATGCATATGAAAGCATTCTCAAGTAATATTTTTTAGGTAATTGAAAATCACAGATATTTTTTATTTGTATATAAAAAGCAACTGTTTGATGTTTTGGATATAATGGCTAGCTTTTTGTATATATCAAAATTGAAATATCGTGTCAAATTTCATGTGGGTACTTGTTTTATTACCTAGGTCAGTACCAACATGAAATTCTACATATCTAATGTAATTATCCTTTTTAATGTTGGAAATGCATGGATTTTTTGTTGAACATACATGAACATTATCTTGTATATAGTGAAAATTGTATCGTATATGGTCTACACTAATTTTTCATTTATGTTGAGCTCTGGTTTGTGAAATATTGAAAATGCATGAAATTTTTGTTGAGCATATGTGAACATCGTCTTGTACATAGTGAATGTTGTGTCGTGCATAATCTGCTTGAGTAGTCATTTTGTTGACCCTAGACTAGTAAAATATTCAAAATGCATGAACTTTTTATTAAGCATGCGTGGACATAGTCTGGTACATAGTGAATATTGTGTTGTGTATGATTTGCCTAATCATTTTTGTTAGAACCTAGGCAGTTAAATATTCGAAATGCATGAACTTTTTATTGAACATGTGTGGATATCGTCTTGTGCATAATAAATATTGTGTCGTGTATGATCTATTTCGTTGTTTTGAAAGTTCGTGCAAGTTTTAAATTCAAATCAAATAAAGAATAAAATTATATTTTTAATGTAAAAAATATTACAATTAAGATCCCAAAACTTATAGAGTAATTTTAAATTAATTTAAACTTTAAATATAATAAACTTTAAAATGGTTTTTAATGTGATTTCCCCTGTAAAAATCTACCTAGTTTACTTGAGAAGTATCTATCTTTTAGCTCCAATTGAGGCTTGAGAGACATGACATGTTAAGGAGAGGTACGAATTCACCTGGTTTTCGTGCAAGGAAGATGTATGCGTGTGGATACAATGCACGTGTTGCCAATAATAATGAAGGATGCGTCAATTTCACACTCACGCTAATACGTACTCCCTTACCCCACCCCCCATGTGCACCTTCTGCAAGCCAGTACCATGATGACATTGGTCATGTTAGGTACTCAATAAATCAATGCGCAGGGCCTGTTTCAGATGTCACTGGTTTGTTTGTATAATAAATAATAACTAATAAATAATATTTTTTATAATAAAAAAGTTTTTTTGGCTAATATAATAAAAAAAATTAAATAAATTAAATCTCAAGAGATTATAAAAAACAAAACATGTTTTCAAACTCAAAAAATATTTATACAGATATATTTATAAATTATTTATTAATAATATCATCACATCAATAATAAAATTTAATTTTATAACCTTATAACTTATAAGCAAAGTCACCAATATTTATTGATGCAATAATAAATAATAACTTGTTTTTATATCATCCACATGTATTTACGTGTTTCTTAAAAACAGTTACACTGGAATC